CCTGCACAATACTGTTGGACCAATGGTCAGTTTTCCTCTGGGGAACACATTCCAGAATCAAATGCATTCCACCAAAATCTATTCCTATGAGGGGTAGAAAACTCAAATCCTCACCCCATAATTGCCATGGCATACTGTTCATTTTGGTAAAAAGCACAAGGAGAAATCTGAATCTTTCAGAAGGTGGCAGGATGGAGAAGAAGAACTGCAGTATCAGTGAGTAATGGCTGTAATTGGAAGCTTGAGAAAAACCAAACAGCAGTCTCTAGAGTGTGTTTCTATGGAAGAAATAATATGAAAACAGCTCATCAACCTTAGCTAAATGGTAGCTACTGCCACTATAATGTCAGTTTATAATTAAGTCCTGTTTATGTTGCATCAAAGAGAAGGATTCATTTGGGCTGACAGCTGAGATTTGGATTAAATGTCTGGTCCTGCCAAAGGATTAAGGTGGCCACAAGAAAAATGGAGATCCCACATCTATGCAGAAGCCAGAATTTCAGTAGGTGTGGATTTTCTTTGAATATTGTTAAACTGTCTCTGCCACACCAATCTCAAAGGTACATCAGTTCTGTCTCCCTGTGATTACGCTACACAAGATTCACAAGGAATTTTAAATATACTACATATACAAACAGAGTCAGCAGCGTCCAATTATCTAAAGTTTCAGGGCCAAAACCTCAGACCAGGAGGTGGACAAAGAATGGAGGGGAATCTCTTTGTGGAAATTGGGATAAAATGCAGATAACCAGGTAATATGAAAAGTAGAAGTAAGTAAGAGGGAAAAAATGGAGGCTGATCAAGCCACTCATCATTTGCACCTAGGGCATGATCCCATGCACTCTTGCCTGTCAGGTTTTAAAGCTATCTTTGGGGGGGGGGGGAATCAAACCTCCTCTAGAACCACTTGCCCTCTGATTTTGTCTCCTAAAGACAAGAAGAAGCTGCAGGTTGCAGCTCAACTCCTCACAGCTTCAGTTAGATGAATGAAGCTGCTGACGGAAGCCACAGGAAGTTTTCAGTTAATAATGTTGGGCTACAGTTAATCTGCTAGATCAGGGTGAGCAACCTCCACGAAGGCTCAAATAATTTTTTCAAAAATAAGTATTTGTGGATATGGTGACCCTCAAAACATGGCAAAATTTGCCTCTATGTACCCTAAAGGGAAATGGGAATTTTCTGAGCAATAAACGGGGATACTGGGAGGTTATATTTGGACCTCTGGAGGTCTATGTGCTCAAGAGGCAGGCAGTTAACAGACTTGATTCCAGGCATCTTCCTATGTACCAGACTGCCCGGAGACAAGGGGGCATGCAGGACAGAATCTATGGCCTCTTGACAAAGTCACTGACAATAGGTTTACAGTAACCACAGGATTTTTATCCAATGGTGGGGAAGAATTATAATCTGTAGAGATCTAGAGTGCTTTGGGGCCACAAACATCCTACAGAATTCTGGCTATATAAACCTGAAGTCAGAACTGACATGGAAAGAAACAAACTAGGCGGCTCCACCCTTCCTTACCAATCACTAATTTTGGGCTATCACAGATGTATGAGGAAGGATCAGGCTCTTCTTGGCTTTCATAAATGGTTAGATTATCCAAATTACCCAGTTTATATGGTGTATGAATCGAAAGCTTTCATTTTACAAAAATGCTACTCCTTGTTAGGAGACTTCTGATACTGTAGTAATCCAGGTGAAAAAACACAAATTTGTGTATAACAACTCCTCTTCACAGCATGGTTATGATTCTGTGGCGAAGTAACAGGTCACATGGAAATGTCTTCTCTTAATCTCCAGCTGCTAAAATCGCATTAAAAGAGACTAAATAATGCATTAAATACTTGCATAATATTTTTTCCATGCAAAGAATTACTGCTTTTAGCACTAGGAAGGCATCACACATAAAATTCTGAAAGAGAGGTGTTATTTTGCACGTAGCCTCAAATATATAGGTGTTTTCTTGTGACACACAATCTCTTGAAAGACCCTGCAAGTTCTCTGGTCTTTCCCTATTACAAAAATAAGTCTTACGTTAAAAAAATACAGCTTATATCTGATAACATCTGCCAGTTTATTCAAAGCATCTGTTTGTTGTGTTTACTCAAAAGTAATCCTGCTGATTTCAGTGGGTAACATTGCCTTTACCAGACTGGCCCCATCTTTGCTGTCCTTCTGCAAGCAGTCAAAAGACCTTTTTTTTCAGACAGATTTTCCCTCAGTGATCCCTGAGTGGGATTTTTAAACTGTTTGTTACGCCTTACTGTTTTGAATGCATTTTTAGTATTGCTTTTGTTTACCATTTCTCAGAGTGGTATTTGTTTATTCCTTTTTAATATTTGTATACTTCTTGTTTCTAGCTTTGAATGTTTTTTTAATGCCATAAGCTGCCTTGGTTCTTTTTTAAGGAGAAAGAAGAATATACTACAAAGCTGGTTGGATAGCTCAGGCTAGAAAAATTATTATCGTATTTTTTACAACTGCACCTTAACTGTAATAATGTTTACTCAGAATCAATTTCTACTGACTTAGATGAAATTTATTTCCAAGTGTGCATGGTTAGGATTACATGTAGAATGTTGAAATTAGTAGGGAAAAGGCAGAATTAAACACAGGCCATCTGTAAGGTAGGTCCCTTTCCAGAACATATTTCAAAACGTTTCCTTAAATAAAGAGTAGAACATCCAAATACTACTGATTATTTTTCAAAAGAAAGAACTAAACACATGCTTAATTCTTCTACTAAAACTGACGGACAATAAAAGAGCTTAAACTTTAAATGCACAATGTTCAATAAATCTAAAGAAAAAAGCCTGAATTCTTTAAAACTGCTCCTAAATACTACTTACAATTGCATATTAAGTACCATATAGCCCATTAAAAAAACAAGGTAGACAACTATGATTCATTTTTAATACTCTACACATTAAAATACTTCCAGGCACAGATGATTAGCTCTGTAGACAGCGCTATTAAATTCAGAGGCACCACTAACAGTAATACTGTTAACACAGCCTGAATATGCACAATCTTCAGGACATTAAACCTAGAACATAGTAGTCATTTAATATCCGGTCCAGGAAGATGCAAAACGAAGAAATGTACTAGAAGGGAACAACAATATATTTTCATAACTAAAATACAACTTGACATAATGTACTCAAAATTAACATTCTTTAATTGGTAGGGTATTCAGCTTTATAGTGACATAAGAAAACTCATCAATAACTTTAACATATTAATGGCAAGCTTTGTTTGACAATGTGCTACTACTGAGGCACCATCATTTCAGCAAGTAATATTGTCTCTATAAAAAGAGACTTTGTCAATTTAATCGTCCTTACTGCACAACAAAATCAGCCCAACTATAACTATCCGGAGAGAACGGAAAGGGTTATTTTATTCTCATTTAAACAACTGGAATACATTTCATTGCTCATAAATAGAACTGTATGATTTTCTTCAGAGTAAACTTGTTTAGGATTATAGCATCATTATCCTTCTGCCCATAGTTTGAAGCTGGTTTACTACTGTAGTTTCCTCTTCATTATTCGTACAAGCCAATACTTTATGTGGAACAGCGCTACAACAGCAGCCTGCATAGGGTATGGAATCCCTTCACCCCAAAATAAACTTTTGGCTCTTCTCAGTCATAGCTCCATAATCAGGGGAAGGTCCCATTCAAGATGGGCAAGTGGTTTTTCTAGTCTATAGTGTTATTTTACCAGGATGTCTTTAACACATAACAACCTCTGGTCAAATTTACATAGAAGGAACTGTGTTTTCACTCCCCAAATAAGCTGCTGGGTGTAATGTCCTCTGCAAGTTGCCCAATGCTTTTGCTGCTGTGCAAGACACAGCGAAAACACACTGCTCCCTTTCCAATAATGGCACACCGAAAATTCTCAATACTGTATGCACAAATGAATAAGGAAGGGGCTAAGTACCACTGAAGCAAAAGCTTTGGGCAACTCCAAGTTCTCCTACATTTTCTCGGAGGATATATTGAGTTCCTACATAAGAGCTGTCTTGGGCCAGGTCGAGAAAACCTGTCCCAACTCTACAGTATCCACAAAATTCAGCCGGCCACCAGGGGCCAGTGATGGTCGCTTATCCTGGCCGACCTCGCAGGAGTGTTACGAGAATAAAGTGGGAAAAACAGGGTGACGTTATTAGAGAAAAGGCAGGATACGAACCTAACTATCAATCAGCCGCTTCAAACACGCATATTTTCCCCAATTTGTGGTACTTCTCCCTTTCCAAAAAAATTTTTTAAAAAAATCAAACGCGAAGCCCCTTCTTTTTAAAAAGTTTCGGGAACTTCTGCCATTCGCCTCCTCGCACGAAAGGACCGAAGGCAGCAATCA